AATCAGTCAGACAAGGTCTCTGTCCACAGAGAGCTTCAGGGAGGGATGCAGACATGGAATAAGCCGGCAAGTAACTAAACAAGGCAATTGCTGACTGTGATGATTTCTTTGAAGGAAATAAGGATGATGGAGAGAAAGAGAGAGAGAAACACGACTAGGGGGGTAATCAAAGAAGGTGACATCTGGGCTAATCCCTAATCATCTGGGCTAATCCCTGACAGGTGAGAGCTGACTGAAGAGGATCCCAGGCTTCTGGAACTACAGGGGCACAGAACCAGAGAAGGGCTTCGTCTGGCAGAGCAGCGGTTCTGGGAGACACAGGGGCTGATGTGGGGCTGGCTCTGGAGGTGGAGTGGCTACAGCACACACAGCTTTGTGGCCTTGGGAGAAGTTTTGTTAAAGGACATGAGACAACCACTGAAAAGTTTTAAACAGGGGAGTCGTGGTCGGATTGGTATGTTTTAAAAACAGGTAATATGCAATAAGATCTTCCAATTTTTATTCAGAGCTGAGATTCTGACACTTACAGGAGGGTCTTAACTCTATGTATGGCACATACAATACAGTCACACACCACACCCTTTGGTACTTGTTCTATTTGGCAGCAAGAGTCTACCTAGAGAAAGAGGGCCAACTTGCAAATTTAAACATTAGCTGGGAAAAAAACAAACATTAGCTGTGACTTATGCTAACTGGCGTGATCATTACTGCATCTCTTGCAGGGATCTCTGCTCTGATCTGCTCTGGTCCTCTGTCCCCCATTCATCTCTACCCTCACCCCAGTGACCCCTCCACTCCGTCTGGCTTCTATCTGGTCAGCAATTCTATCCCTGCCAACCAACTGGGCTCTTTCTCCTGGTCTGCACTCATTATTTTCTGTCCCATAATGGCGGGCCTGTCTCCCTTCTGTCACAATGGACTGTCCTTTTGTCCCAAAGCCTTGGCCTGGGCTCAGAACCATTTCCTCCTTCACAGTCCATGAGACTACAGTCTCCTTGAGGAAAAGGACTGTACCTGGCTCATGATGGTTTGCCTGTATTCACCACCGTGCTGGCACCTCCCATTGTTCAGTCTTCAACAAACACCGTTGAGTGAATGATCTCTCTGACTTAGCGGCAGCTTGTGTGGACAGGAGATGCTCCCGGCCGGGGTCCTCCCTCTCCCCACTCAGTCCCCTCATGCTTCTCCCTGCTTCTATGCTGAGAACCAGCGTGGCTTTGTGCCATTAGCTTCTCCTAACTATTTTAACCAGAGCTGAAGCGAGGCCTCCTCTCCCCTCTCTCTCAACTTAGTAAATCAAGGCTAAAGCTTGGGCATAATTCAGTCTTCCTGACCTGTGGCTGAGTCGTCATTGTGACAACTCGGAAAAAGCAAATCTTCAGACGCTCCCCATCATTTCCCAGATGGTGGTGACATCTCACGTTTACCATGCACTACTGTTCACCGGGCACCACGCAGAGCACTTTTGCAAGCACTGTGCCCTTTAGTCTCCACTGTGTGGAAAATATTATTATCTTCATTTTATAGATAAGGAAACTGAGGTTTAGAGAGGTTAAGAAATTTGCCCATGGCTACAAAGCTAACGAGTAGGAAATCTGAAGTCTTTGAGATCTTTGTGAATGGGAAGCTTATGCTCTTAACAACTCAGAAAATAACTTGTAAAATAAAATTCATAACAATCAATGTACTGAACGTTAACACAAAGAAACGGATAAATTAATGAATGATGGAATTGAAAAGCAGGTAGGATTCTGGAACTCTGCTGCATAATTGGATAGATTTTAATTTCTCTGTCACATTCACCTCCCCTCAAATCTCTTTATAACCCTTTGCCAGAATTTCAGAGCATATTTAAGATTCTTTTTAAATCTAAGGCATTTTAATAGAAGAAATTCAAGAAAATCAGGGAAGCTTAAAAAACAGTCCATCTCTTAGATTTTAAAAGCCTCAAATAAAAGATATGAAGAGAGCCTATGAATTCTCACATATCACAGAAATATATATGAGATCAAAACCATTCAGATTATAAAAACTTCCATTAATTATAGAAAGTCTCAGGAATCCAAAAAGCTCATTTTTTCAAAGTTCTTTGAATGACAGTTCTAATGTGTCCAAAAGACACATTTCCCCACTTTTTAACTCAACATCAAAGCACAAATTCAAATACACTTTTGATTTAAAATGAGATTGCCTTTAAAAATGCCAAATTTTCCCGATGTTATCTGAAACACATATAAAATACTTAAGTACTTGCCTACCTAGAAAAGAACAGAGTTACAACCCACGACACTAGGCTGGTACGTGTAGAAAGCAGAACTCCAGATGGGAGTGTTCTTCAGTGAGATCGTTATGTCAAGGAATCCCGATGTTAAGTGTTTATGCTCAGCACGAGTCGTTTGTGAACACTTACACAATTCATTTAAAACAAATCAAGAATCAGGAAAAGCACTAGCAAATTATAAATAAAATGTGAAAGCATAAATGGTAAGTATTTTACCAATCTTAACCAAGGAAATTAATTTACTAATACTTGGAAAAATAATGAACACAAATTAAGATTCCAACCTGTAGGCTGGGAGTGGTGGCTCATGTCTGTAATCCTAGCACTCTGGGAGGCCAAGGCAGACAGACT